GCCGATTGCTGCCGTGATTGGATGAGACCATACAGTCGTGCGATTAAGATCCCGGTCCCTTCACATAGTTCTGGCATCACGCAAATCTGCTTGGATTTTGCCAAACCAGAATATTCAATGGGACGTCAATATTTTTGAATGGCAGCTGTATTTATTCAACGGATTGCTGTATTTCTTTAATACTACCTACTTTTCCCGTCTGGCCGCAAATCTTAGGCCCTTACAATACCTTACAATTGAGTGCAAAAGAAGGATTCACCCTAAAGTGAATTTTTGTAGATTGCTGATACATTCTCTAAATGCCGCGCACATAGCGAAAACATCGCGGGGCCACCTCTCCTTCGCCGCGTCGCGGCGGCAGGCTGACCTCTCGTGGAGTCCTAACCGTTCCCCTTACATTATTCAGGGGGAGATTCATAGAAAGTTCAGATGAACATGTTACTTGCCTCAAGTGTTGACTCCATGACGATTTCCAGCTGGACCTCTTCTCCATTCAGGAGGAAGTTAATGGTCTTCGAATCGGCCTCTTCGATTTCAGTAGCTAAACAAACAAAATTTCAAAACTGATGGGCTACTGTGACACCTTATTTTCCGCGATATAAACCGCCATTTTGCTACGAAGCTTGCAACTTTTGCACAAGCCGCTTCAAATTTCTTACTGAGAAGCTAGACCCCAGACTATCGCAAAATAAGCAAGACCACAATTTTAAGAAGGACCTTTGTTTTCCGAAGTAGGCCCCATCCAAGATTACGTCCCTACATTGCATATCAGAGGACAGTGCGGAGCGTGATCATGGCTGGGAGGTCCAGATGGAAAAGAGGCAGATACGCATGCATAAGAGAGGATATCGGCGTATACGTAACCTCTACCAGACCGTCCGGCCTAGCTTGGGAAAATGGCTAGTTAGCCTGTCCTCTTTTCATCCTCGATTATTTATTTGCACTGTGGCTGGGAGCATGCACAAAAAACCTTGACACAATCTCACGTGTCCCACTCTTTGCCCACATTTCCATCAGAAAATCTCGAAAAGGAGGATGGGATGTTCACTTACATATCACATGAGTCTGCTCGGGAGTAGTTGTTGAAGCGACGTGATAAATTTGATGTGCGAGCGTTTTCTTGCCAGCATTTCGGCTACCGTACAATCGTAGCAACACTTGACGTGCCGGTTTGGTAGATTCGGGGTAGAGGTAGATTTCAGGGCATGTGGCGCGGCGATTTTCACCTGGAGAAGTGTAATCGGCTCTTTGTACGGTGCTCTCGGCTTCAGGCGTCAGAGCAACCACAATTACCTCGTTTTCTTCCGACCGCCTTTCCAAGGCCTTTGATTTCGTAGCCGTTGTCCACAAGTGAACCATTCCTGTAGTCGAAACTTCGTAGTTGTCCTTCGATACGTTCGATACTTTGTAGACCGTCCTAGACAAATGTAGTTGCTGAATAGTCAGTGCTGTTCATAAAAAATCTTGAAAACTGTATTCAAGAATTAGCAATGTAGTTCATTTCTTATGTTTTCGACCATTTGTAACGATAGATCCGGTTTATCCGATAAGTGCCGTCGGTTACCGCAAGCGCGGATAGGACCGCAGGTCAACTGCTTTCCTGGTCATTCACAGCTTCCTCCACTCAGGACACGGATATTGGTCAGGTTGGATGAAATCCTGCAATCGGTGGCTACTGGCAGTTGTATAACATTCGCAATAGCGAATCGGATTACAAAAATGCAATGAACAGACAGGGCGCTTGTGCCAATCGCAAAAAGGGTTAAACGCGCAAAATTATTATCTAACTCATATTCTTTCTATCCATTTCTAGTCCCGAAGCTGTATTACTTTCAGACCTTATTTGGTAAGGGCCCTCGTGCCACCAATTGTATTCGTCTCAGTACGGGGGCGTCCGATGGCATGACGCAAAAGGCCTGGATCACCATGTCATAGTCATGTCATCCGACGCGTCGGTAATCAGAAATGAAACTCAGCGCGAATTAGCCGCCATGCCAAAGTGACGCTTTCATCTAACGTCCAGCAAAATTAGCTGAATTCGCCTCTATAAAGTATACTCGTCATCTCCAGCGATGGATAGCGTGGCGCGTAATGACGTGGACATAGGCGGAGAATTCCCTGTTCAAGGATCAAAAAAATCATCTGGGTGCAGTTGTTGCCTTATACTGTACTGCATAATATCCTGTTTCTCAATGTTCTGGAACTGCAATGTCCTCTCATGGTCAGAATGCAGCTGCTCCACATTTTAATGAAGTGCGCAACCACAGACTTTTCCATCTCTGCGACATGGAGTAAGCCCCGAAAATTGAAGAACTAGCATTCAAATCGGCTTTGAGTTACAAAACTCACTTTCTCGGCATCAATACCCAGTTTTAGTGCGAGATTTCATTGCCACACAGATGTACCCTAGAGGCGTCGAAGAAAGGCAGCCAGGAACAGCCTTTCCTACTCAATTTGTTGCGGCTAGATGGCATCAATAAATCGAAAAGCCGGCTCCGGTGTTCCTGCAGTTTCCGAACTCTCAATCGTTTCCAAGGATACTATGCACATCTCTACCCTCTCATTTATCCCATACATACCTTCCCATACTCAAGATTAGCCGCGAAAATGTGCGAAAGGAGGCGCTGCAAATGGTTTCGCGGCTCAGTTGCCTGCATTAGCCAAATACAAAGCTGTACACTCCATTTTCAGTCCATTCCCAGAGGGTGTGGGCGTGCACCGCGTACTTCATCGGATGGCGTTTGACTTCGGTCTCCTGGAATTGTCGTTTTAGGAAAAGTGTAATTACCAGTGTAATTAACTGTTTGCAACAGTGAACAAGAAAAGTATCAAAGAAAAGTGACCGTCTCTCGAATGGGACAACCCCCTGGGAACGTACCAACGCCATGTTCTTAACGAATGTGCAACAGCCACGCTCACCCCATCACTGGTATATGTGCGCGATTTTGTATAATAGTAACGATTAATGTGTTAAGTGATGAGTTCCATTAAAAAGTAGCCATAACTTGCATAGAGGTCATGAAAGTAAGAGAGTGAACCTTTTACCTTTCCACAAACATTGTTGTTTGTTTCCATGAACCCCTGATTGGCCAATGAGTATCTGTACCTGAAAAGCGAATGATTTCCTCTATGTGGCTTCACGAATATCCAAAGACATACATATGCATATCGCGATGATTGGACGGGTAGAGAAATGGGTGGGCTCCTTACTATCGTACTCTTTTATTGGGGCTCTTTTTATCCCAGTATGCTAAAGAAAAGGGGCGTGCTAACGAGGAAGGCACAACGACTGACGAAAATCTTGCCGCCTATTTTTTCTGCTCATCTGATTTACCGCGGGAATTCCCGTTAACTCTATACAAATACAGCAAAAAGACTATCCGAAAATAACTTTATCAGAGCATCAAATTAAGTTGATCAATTATTTGATAACCATTTAAATGTGAGGCTGAATTACTGAGTTATTTTTGGTGTTCGTATTTTTTAGCTTTCAAAGCTCTTCGTTCTGTTTTCTCTACGAAATGACAAAGACGAACTTCTTCAGCTTTGTCACTACTGAAAGGGTCTTGAAGGGAAAGGGAAAAAGTGTTCACATTGCTAGGACCACTCCCCCCCCCCCCCCTTGCAAATAGTTTCAAGTGTGCGACATTTTGTCCGGATCTAATTGATAAATACGTTCAAGCGCAGGGTCAGTTAAGGATTACGCTATTTTCTGCGCGTTGCCGCAACTGGATCTCCCAGTTGACGTCTGTGATGAGGGCACTGAACAGTGGAGTAACAGGCACTGAACAGTGGAGTAACACACTTTATGGAGCAAAACTCAAATAAGCGCGCTTTCGGACGAACGCGAAATTCTCTTATTTTCGGAAATTCAAAATCTTTTAAATTTTTGTTTCTTGATCATTTGCCGGAGGATCGATGAAAAAATGGGTAATTCTGACTTCACTGGATAACAGGGAAGCTCTACATATTTCTCGGAGCAAGTCCTCAGTATCCCTGGTGGAAAGGAGCGAATTCAGAGGGCGTCGAATACGTAGGCGATATCTGAACAGGGCAATTACCGGTAAGTTGACTTAATGAGATATTGGGTTGGCAATGAGAACGTTTATAGTCGTAAAAATCTCCATTAAATAAATGAGAAAATGTAATAAAAATCTCTTATGCTTTATATTTTTGTACATAACAGTGGAAAATGACGTTTCATAAACTTTTCACAACGAACGGATCGTAAAACGCTGACGCCCACGACATTTTATAATATTTCTTTACCTATTTATTCACTTTATTACACTTTGGAGCATGCAATAATGTCTGATACCTCAGCGGGCTCAACAGTATCTATACTATATACATTTGGGTGCAGGTCGACATGGTGGGGGCACCGAATGGAGCTTAGCGAAGCTGGTTCAGGCCACTTGTGGAAACCTGTGAAGTCCTATGACCCAGAAAGCTCAATTATACTATTCCATAGTTTCACAGGAGTTTAAAGGTCTAAGGCTTACCTGTTACTTAACACGAACTAGCTCAAGGAACTTGCGAAGGTGCGCCTACAAAGTGCCTACGGGGGGGGGGAGGCAAAAAAGTCACTTTTCTCCCTTGACCTGCGAGGTCTGCTTTTAACACCGAGAAAATGCCCTTTTATGGTCCTCGAATCTATTAGGTTATCGCAAAAGTTCGTGACACTTTCGAACTTTTTTCGAATTAAGTTTATTCCAGTGAGAAGCAACTGTGTATGCTACCATCACTGGCAACTTGCTGCCAAACCACCAAGCAAAGAGTAGTTGCCTTACTTGCAAGATGCTGTTCCGTGCCGAGAAAGGCAGCTGCGTCCTCTTTGAAACTTTCAAAAATCGTACTTTTTTACCCAGAAGATGGCGGTTGAGGGATTAGTTCAGTCTGGCGGCTAGAAAGGAGCTACACGAAGACTGTGGTGGAATTCCCCAGCTAAGCTTCAGGATCTCGAGCAGTGTCATTTTCGAAACGTGTGACCCTGAGCTGTGGTGGAGTAGGCAAACTCTGTGGGACCAAAAAATGAAATATTTCCATCCGCCCCCCCCTTTTGCAGCTGATTACAGTAGGGTTCACTGGTTAACACAGCGCTGAGAAGAAGAAATTCCCTTCAAGGAAGAGAGAAAGAAACCACACTAACATACACGGTCTCACCGCCCTACTGGATTGATAGGATTGTGCGACCGGTTCTGCCCTCTCGGGAGAGGGGGTGGCGGGTTAGCCACTGGCGCTTCCGAAAGTGATTCACCTACTCCCATATCCAGTTACATACTGCTGTTCATGCAAATCCAAACAGCGGGAGAGGGAGAGAAGTTGTAGACAGTACCCACAAGAAATCGCCTTGGAGTATCGGTCAAATCATGAGAAAAATTCTGATCAAACTCCAATACTTTCTTCAAGGGAGCGAGGCCCTCTGTCATTTGTGCTTTTGAAACAATCAAGTGTAAGTACTAGATAGCGAGTTGATTTGTACGAATTGGTTTTAATCAAGGAGCGCAGTAGTAAGTCCAAGGCAGGTGGCCTCCCTGTACAATGTTTTTCTCAGGTAGAAGGTTCACATGAGCGAAAGCGATTGGGCTATTCCGCAACGCGTTAACATCAAGACCTAAATAAGGGAAATGCCGCTTATGGCTCCAACCACGTTGTGGACTTGGTAGGCGATTCATATAGCGAAGTGTGTCGAAAATGATGAATTTCAATTACCGTTTTGGATATGAGAACAGAGGCTGTGAGGGCGGTCAAGAAGCTGTGGGTTGCTTACCTGAACACATTCATAGACTTCACTATCTCGCGGGTGGATCTCGAAGTGGGTACGGAAAGATCTGATATGAGATTCAAAAAATGTTCAAGAACTTTGGACAAGCTAATATTTGACAGGAAAAAAAACTAGCACTGCATGGGCTTCTAGGATTGGAGGTGACTGTCGAGAGTAAAGGCAGGTACGCAATGAAACTAAGGTGCTAAACTGGAAAGAAAATACGTAAAATTTCAGCGCTTCGAAAAGTGGCCCCAGATTGGACCCGAGCTGAATGCCGAAATGTCAGCTGATCTTCGCGGGCGTATACTTTTCAATCCCTGGAGACAGAAATTTGGACGACTCTGCTAGATAAGGATTACGTCATTTGACCGCGAGGCCACTATGTTCCGTAGATATTCCCCAGAGCCTCCACAGTGGGCGTTTAAAAGGGGATTGACATGATAAGCGGTAATCAATTTCGAAAAGTACGTTAATCCTTAATTGAAGCCAGCAAGATATGACCAGCATTACCTCTGCGAAAGCCTTGAGGCGAATGCACTTAATTTATAGCTGTGAAGTTCTGACTGCTGGCGTAAGAACTGAGACATAAACGTAAGTGTATCACTAATAAATTTTCTTTACAATTGAATGAATTATCGAGTCTCATTATTTGGTTCTGACGGCCGATAGGATAGAAAAGTACAATTTACCATTGGGGTGGTGACGATGAAAAGTCCAGATGGGAGTAGCCGGCTCAGAAACTCCGCTCAAGTAGTACATTCTAACAGCACGACTTCAGCACTGTCTCAGGCACATTCCTCGCTGGTTGTATGGTGGAGTCTTTCTAACTATTGCGCTTTCCTGATGGGTCTGCACCCCTTCCCCGTTACTCTGAAAAAAAGACGACCATGAGAAAGGCTTCTGCTCATGTAATTTCACGAAAACGTTCGAAATCTCGGACTTTCGAGTAACTTCTTATCGTTCCTTTTGGTTGACTTCTGTGGCATGTTGATGTTCGCTTCGCTGATGTTCGCTTAAAGGCAGTTGGCACGATGGTTTCCCACTCGGCCTAAAATGCTAGTAGGGCGCTATGTGGGGAAATGGCGAAAGAACGGAGTGAAACGGTCAAAATCCTGCGAAGAAAAAGCCTCCGTTCTCAGTGACTTGAAATCGATTTCGGACGAGTTTCCCGTAGGCATCTTACCAATCACCGCTACCGAAGATACGGCTGCATATGTGTACCCATATATGCATCACGGCCGCTTCATACCAATCCCTTCGCTTAATTTGCTCAG